ACATTGGCATTATGAATGATGATGGCAAATATAAAAACCGGTTAGGAGTCGATTGGCTTACTTTACAGTTTATTTATATTAAAACACTTCATTTATCTGACTAACTGCCAATTATTCCAGTATTATATTTTGCATTGTTATTTTTAGAGAGACATTGCCAACTTCAAGCCGGTCTCAAATCGTCAACCCGATGCCGGCATCGGGACTTATTACCTTAATATTATTATTTATTTTTAAAAAAAAGATTATTATATTGCCCAAATTACTAATAGTCCCGTTAGCCCCTCGTGGTAAGCTAAATAAGCTTGTATTACGAGTGGGCTCACCACAATAGTCGAACGGCGGTGGGATTCGAACCCGCGTTCCTCGGATCTCGAGTCGGCCACTCCGACCCCTTCACCGTTCGGCTATCGTGGCTATAAATTATTGTATTACTGGGTTATTTGCTCTCCAATGTATGATGACACTCTCTAATTTACCAGAGGTGGATTTGGCTTATTCTCTGCACGCTGACTAGACGGACGGGTTAGAGGCCTGATGCTCGTATAATGAGAGCTATCGTTTTTATACTTAACAGTTGGGTTGGCACCCCTGGCGATTAACAGGACCTTACTCTACAGTGGCGCCATCTTGATGAGTGCAAATGCGATAGTCCTCCTACCACTTTAGCGCTCACCAGTTGGTGCCACTGTCTTCGCTACTAGCAAGTGACAGGACCTTCCTCTACAGTGGCGCCAACTGGTGAGCGCTAAAACGATAGCCCTCATTGTCTCTTAGCCGCTTCTTAAAACATCCACGAAAATAAATAATAATAATAAATAAATATCCTTGGACATTTTACACTGCGCTTCTAGTCCCAAACTAAGCAAAGCTTGTACTATGGGTACTAGACAACGGATATAAACATACTTAAATACTTTTTTTTTGTAAATACATACATATTATACATAGAAAACACCCAGTCCAATACAAACAAATATGTTCATGCACAAAAATGTTTGTATTGTGCTGGAATCGAACCCGCAACCTCCGGAATAGTAGTCCGTTTCGAACCACTACACCATACGGCCGATAGTGTAGAAAAGAGTGGTTCTATTATACTCGAATCAAATTAAATACCATAGACTCACCCCAAGTAATCCTACGATCTGGTACGCCACAGTTGGCGTCAAGGTAGCCACGTGCCTTAAAGTGATGCCTTCCAAGTCCACGATGACGGTGCCGCCGATCACCTGCAGCTTCGGCTGCCGGAGTCCGATCTCCATCATCAGCATGCCCGCACGGACTAGGTCTTCCACAGGGAACTCGCTGGGGTCCCACATTCCTGGACATTTATGAGGTTGTTATTAAAATGGGAATAATTGAAATGAAATAACGTATTTCTGTGAAAACCGAAGATCGAGTGTCTTTTATTTTATAATCCACATAGACAATACATTCTATAGAGTCTATAGTTTATTTGGTGTTCAAACTACTTTCTAACAGTTGTAAAAGCCTTACGGAATGAAAAGCAACCATCGGAAAGTCTTATGGATCATCTTTTACTTAAGGCCTTTTACTTAATGAAGGCATTGAGAGGTTGTAAAAAGCATATTAAAGTAGATTCTGGAACATATTTTGCTTTCAAGTCTCTGATTCTGCAGATAGAGAGTCCGCTGAGACCGTCGTAGTCTTGCAATGACGTTGATTAGCCTACACATGTCCACATGTCTACTTTTATCATCTGTATAAAAGTATACGATACCAAGAATTTAAGGAGAACCAACTCGGAAGAAGAAGAAGAAGCCTCTCAATATCAAACGTCGTTAATATTGGCTAATCCTCATAGGTCTTGCAGTTTCATGTGGTGTGCAATAGACTCAAAATCCATCTATCAGTTTATAGTCAACCGACTACTAAACTAGTCTCCGCAGGTCTTCATCTTTGTAGAGGTATGTTTTGTAATTCTACTACTCGCTGAATTATTAGCAAATAAACTCTACATATGAGGATCTCTCACCGAATCTGAAGATGGACAGTCTGCCGACGTCAGGCCGGTCCAGCATGGAGCCCTCGTAGGCATCCTTGACCTTCACCAGTTCCCACATGTCCACATCCTTGTAGAGGTATGGGTACTGGTCTCTGAACGCGCAGTATCGGACTACCTGGAAACAAACGAATTGGTAAATAAAAATAAATGTATGAAACAAATTAAGGTTAACATTTTTCCCATTTGGATTATAGAAATCCAAATGGTAACGTATTGTGTGAATGTATTTACAATTTATCCCTTTCAGCAGTATTGAGAAATATACTTGTTAGTTGTTAATTTATATCATAATTCATTTAAGAGTAATGAAGTACCTAATTTTCTAATGAAATATAACATATCTAGTGCCAAAAATTACGAAACAAAATCGGGTAAAAAAGTAACTACATAAAAAGTGCTTCTATAGGCATTTGTCGCAAGCAGTCAAAAATACCATGATATTTCAAAAGTTCTCTCAAACTAACTAAATCTTTGAACCTGCTATTGCTCAAGCTGGTTTTTGTGATTAAACGCAATCCCAAAAACTTGCTAATTAGAAAGATCTAACACATGTGTCATAAAATGCCGAGGATACGAACAGGTTGTGTACTTAGAGGTCGCTATTAGAATAATCGTACCGTTGCATATTTGTTTAAGGTCAGTTATGCAACAAACCGGTCTATACGTAATATGGGCGCCAGCTGACACACGTTCTAACGGCGAATATCTGTATCTTATACAATGTATGTCCTGTGTACGACAACACATAGAAGTAGCTTTGTTGTGTAGAAGCAGCTTTGTTGTGTTGAATGGTTACGGAGCTAATCGGCTCATAAGTTTTCGCCTGTCACAGCACTCACAACTACATTATAAATTATACACGCGTGCGTAATAAAGACTTTTCTTTATTACGCACGCGTATACAGTGTGAGTCACGTTAAAGTGTACATATGAAATTAGGTAAAAAAAAGAGGTCAAAAATTTTTGAGATTTTTTTTTAATTTTTTATCGAATTTTTTTTCTTCCAATTACTTATTGAAAAGAAAACGTAATAACTTTTAAACTCAGCGGTATATCCTGATAAAATAAAAACAGTAATAATGCTAAATAACAGGCGATATTAATAATACATAAAATACACAAAAAAGGCCAAAAAATAATAAAAAATGATACTTTTTGAAAAAAATCTGCTTAAAAATTCGTGTTTTTTGGTTATTTGATAATTTTTTCCAAAAAATGCCCCTATAACTGGTGGTTTTTATTACTTTGTATTATTCTCTATCGTATTACCTTCGTAAAACCAAAAATCGCATGTCTTTATCCCTATCACAACGTTTGCAATGATTGTTTGAACTAAGCCTCTCCGGGCGCGCCATTCAACGCTTCGTTAACAACGAAAATGAAAATGGCTCTAGATTTGTAATTTTGATAAAAACAAGTTAGATTGCAAATAAAAACAAAAGATTTCGAAGTAAAATAAGCTTTTTAGGTAAAATTAAAATTGTCTCTACCTGTAGCGGAGAATAATGTTGTGGCAGGCCTTTGTTCAAACGATCATAGCAAATGTTGTGATAGGGGTAGAGACATGCGATTTTTTTTACAAAGATAATACGATGGAAAATAATACAAAGTAATAAAAACCACCTGTTATAGGGGCATTTTTTGAGAAATTTATCAAATAACCAAAAAAATACGAAATTTTTAGCAGATTTTTTTCAAAAAGTCTATTTTTTTATTATTTGTTGGCTTTTTCTGGGTATTTTATGTATTTTTTCAGTATCGCCTGTTATTTAGCATTATTAATGTTTTTATTTTATCAGGATATACCCCTTAGTTTAAAAGTTATTACGTTTTCTTTACAATAAGTAATTGGAAGAAAAAAAATTCTATAAAAAATTAAAAAAAAATAAAAAAAAAATTTGACCTCTTTTTTGTCGATAAAAATAGGTCTAGTTTTATCTATTTTCATATGTACACTTTAACGTGACTCACACTGTATAATTTAAGCAAGTTTTTATCCTTTTAAAAAATCAGGATAGTAACGAGCTTATATTTTTTCCTGGTTCTCAACCTAAACTATGGTTCTGAATCTAAATCGATTCATTCAGACGTAAAAAAGTAATTTATCCTCAGTCTCATAAATTATATTATTATTCTTATGCCCGTTTTCACCATCAATAACTAATTTTTGAGTGACCCCTATGTCAACAAAATTCCTGTTATTTGTCACCATACCTAGAGGTCACTTAAAAATTAGGGATTGATGGTGAAAACGGGCATTATTCTCTTAGTTTATAATATTATTCTCTTCTTGGTATGCAATTACCATAATTGTATAGTAACTATCCGTCAGGAAATGTAACTTACATTTTCATAACTGTACTAGTAAATCGACATAACATGCTATATTCTTCTATGATTATCTCGGTCGCTTACTCTCCGATGGTCTATCTTTTTTGGACTCTATTACATAGACTTTGGAGTGTAAATCGCGACTGCCTATATTCACAAAATTTGGTCAAAATGTTGGGATTTTTCAGATAACTTAACTGCTTCAAAGATTGAATAACATTTGGAGTTCATATTAACTGTTCGCATACGGTGAAGTATAAAAGTTGTCATGTGTTATTTGCTACACTTTTGGCATATTATTAATAGTTCATTTGTCCCCTTAAATAACCTTCTGAATCTACTGAATGATTTATAAATATGTGTGGAAAGTTTTGTATTTACATTGTTACGTCATGAAGCTTGTAAATTGCACATAATGTTTGTTTTGACAAAACACTTGTATTTGCTGAGCAAAGTCGAGTGTATGAAACTAACAAGATGTCTTAGCACCTGCATGATGACTAAATAGTAATAATGACAAGTGCATGCAACCCGTCTTGCCAGCACGGGTCGTTGTGGAAATCCTTGTCATTAGGAATTGTTGACTTGTCAAAGGAAAGGCTAAGTGAAGCTAAATGACTAGTTGAGTTTGTATGCTTACCAGTCTGTGAGCCTTAGGAACTATGAACTTGGTGGCTCGCAAGAACCTCAGCAGAAACGAGTCATCCATTCTGAAGGGCAAGCACTCGCCTCGCTCTGAAACGCATGCAAATAAACATAGTTAACCTCAACCTGCGCGTACACAGGTAGAATGTTAAGATCATTGAAATTTATTCATTCTAAAGCATCCTTCGGTGCCTAATAGGGCAATAGCTGTGAAGCATTATATTTTTTATTAATATTGTATGAACTTTTCTCTATAACAGAAACATGATGAGCTTTGTTCATGAAAAATAACTAACCATATTAACTGGAATACTTCCTCGTTTTCTGGTGCTGCCATGTTATTATTTTTAGATATACTAGAATATGATGATGAGTAATTTAAAATCTAAAGAGGCTAACGAAGATACGAAATTGTAGCGATAAATTTAAAAAATAATTAAATATAATTTTATTGAAAGTTTATCGAAAACTTGGGGGAGGCCTTTGTCCAGCAGTGGACGTCATTTGGCTGAAACGAACGAACAAACGAACTAATCAAAAACCGTATTCAACGCAGACTATCAGGCAGCCAATTTTGGCAAGGCCATAATGCGTATTCGCAACACAGCAAAAACCGATTCTTTACCGATTCGTCATGGATTTTTCGGAGTCATTTTAAACCATACCGACGACGACGACGATGGTTTAAGAATCTACACTAAAAACAAAATTGAAGCTTGTGATTCGGTCAAATACAAAATTCAGTAAAATCGTAGGTGAGTTTGATTGGAATTTGTTAGTTTGGTATCGGTACTCTATTGCATATTTAAAAAATGTTTCAATGCTTCTTTTAAATATTGCAATACCCAGTGATTTCACTACTGTAGAACTGGTAAACACACATCAAAATATGGTTTGTCTACATTTTCACGTGAAAAAATATGCAATACGCAGAAATTAACATCCATATTAATATGTGCTGTCACATTTCAAAACTCTAAACAAAGGATTTTAGAGTCAAAGGGTCAATGATGAACAATAACGCCAATGAAAAATAGAATTAATTTGACAAAGATATTCTTGAGATGATCTTGGGTCATGATTCTTATAGGGATGGCAACAGAAATAACAATCATGTTATGAATTTAAGAGCAGAAGTTAATGGGTTGATTCGAAAATATTATAGAGATTTTGTGAAAGATAAAGGTAATTAAGTGAAAATAAACTTTACCACGATGATTGAAAATAAATTATTTACATTTTTTTACATTTTAAGGCGAACTGAGAGTAGAAAATACAATATCTATCTCGACCAAAATATCAAGATGTATAACAACAGAATAAAGATGATACAACAAGGAAGGAACGAACCTCTTAAATAATAATGCTTCAATTAGCTAAACACTGCATTTTAAATTTAATTCTATCGATAAATAAATAAAATTAGCATCAAATACGAAATGAGACATTGTTACGTGTAGAGTTCCCATTGCTTATTTTTTTTCTTGTTGAGGCCTTTAAATCGAAAACTTGGGGGAGGTCTTTGTCTAGCAGTGGACGTCATTTGGCTGAAACGAACGAACGAACGAATCAAAAACTGTATTCAACGCAGAATATCAGGCAGCCAATTTTGGCAAGGCCATAATGCGTATTCGCAACACAGCAAAAACCGATTCTTTACCGATTCGTCATGGATTTTTCGGAGTCATTTTAAACCATACCGACGACGACGACGATGGTTTAAGAATCTACACTAAAAACAAAATTGAAGCTTGTGATTCGGTCAAATACAAAATTCAGTAAAATCGTAGGTGACTTTGATTGGAATTTGTTACTTTGGTATCGGTACTATTGCATATTTAAAAAATGTTTCAATGCTTCTTTTAAATATTGCAATACCCAGTGATTTCACTACTGTAGAACTGGTAAACACACATCAAAATATGGTTTGTCTACATTTTCACGTGAAAAAATATGCAATACGCAGAAATTAACATCCATATTAATATGTGCTGTCACATTTCAAAACTCTAAACAAAGGATTTTAGAGTCAAAGGGTCAGTGATGAACAATAACGCCTGACTTAGAATTAATTTGACAAAGATATTCTTGAGATGATCTTGGGTCATGATTCTTATAGGGATGGCAACAGAAATAACAATCATGTTATGAATTTAAGAGCAGAAGTTAATGGGTTGATTCGAAAATATTATAGAGATTTTGTGAAAGATAAAGGTAATTAAGTGAAAATAAACTTTACCACGATGATTGAAAATAAATTATTTACATTTTTTTACATTTTTAGGCGAACTGAGAGTAGAAAATACAATATCTATCTCGACCAAAATATCAAGATGTATAACAACAGAATAAAGATGATACAACAAGGAAGGAACGAACCTCTTAAATAATAATGCTTCAATTAGCTAAACACTGCATTTTAAATTTAATTCTATCGATAAATAAATAAAATTAGCATCAAATACGAAATGAGACATTGTTACGTGTAGAGTTCCCATTGCTTATTTTTTTTCTTGTTGAGGCCTTTAGCTGTGGATTTTGAATAATAACTCTGAATAATGGTGGGCATACTCGTAACATAAGACATTACAAGCTACAGCAATTCCCTATTAAATAAGAATAAAAAGTATCTTTATTAGTATAGAACTACAGATAAATCGTCAAATGCTCTTAAGGAGCCTTTATATGTATGTCTCATTATTTTTTGCCCTACCAGTGCTTCTAGAGAAACATTTAGCAAGTGCTGAAAAAAGCGCCGCATCAAATTCAGTCTGCTGGTTTAAAAAATAACTTCTCTCTGCTTACCGTATATCATTGAACGGAGCTCCTCAATGGATGCCTCCCTGGTGTTGAGGTCCTCATGGCAGTGCTCGTACGCGAGCTCGTATAGCTCAGGGTCCTCCTTCGTGTTAAGCTCGGCCTCGAAGGCTATTTCCAGGAACCGCTCGTACATTATGTGGTCCTGGTACTTCTACTGCTGTAATCAAAGTGAAAATACTCAGTGCAGACGAGTGTAACGCGTAATGGAATGTATAGTGTAATGTAACGGAAATAGTATGGGCAGCATTACATGCAATGCTCGTAGTGTCGTCCACTCGTAGAATTCGTGTTACATTGCACGGTAGATTACATTACACATTACACCCGTCTTGACCCGACTATATAGGCATCTGTGTACTTTGGAAAATATGTATAATGCACAGAACGCACTGTTACTTGTACTGACGTGATAATAAGTTTTCGTGCACATAGTTATTTATTGGAATTTTCCAATTAGTCACAGCCTATGACCTCAAACTAAACAAATATGCTAAGAAAAACATCAATGTCGTTAATTATAAGGATTTTCTATTTACAAAATATTAAATTGACATGAAACTTGAGAAATAGGTATTTATGACTTACAATGTTAGGTACTATCTAAAGACTAACATAATTTTAATTTAACAAAGGAAAACTTCTTGCCTTTTAGCTAGGAGTCATATGACATTGAAACTATGTAGTTTCATACTTATGTATGTTATAGTTTTCTTAAAATAAACTTAATAACACACAAGTGTGAATCTCGCCCGAGATGGTTTCCAACTACTTAATGACTAAAAATGACTCTACATTTAGAGGTTTCCACTACTACATACCGCGTTAATTCTTAACATGGCGCACGATTTTTGTTGAAGATGCCAAAATAAACTACAAAAAATTTGAATGAATACTGTATTTTTACTTTTTTGATATCTTTAAAAATGACTGAAATATTCAAGCTCAAAGTGTGCTCTTCCGCTAGGAGCGATTTTCCGCGCGGATTTTGAAAATGTGACGTAGTAACATGAAAAGCTGCATGTAAGATATTATCTGTGTACAATGGTTAGAATGGTTAGTAGGGGAGCCGAAGCGGGGATTTAGGGACTTACTAAAGAGTGGCAGACTAACATACAAGGAAATACTTTGTACCTGGTTGAGTACCTCTAAGTATGAATTTTTGATATAAAACGGCATTAGTTCTTATGCCTCTCACCCAAAAAATACCTCAATTAAGCCCAAATTTGAGACCGCAGCCAATGATGACGATGGAAACTATCCTAGATGGAGGACACATGAAATTGAACTTCTGTNGGCCTTTATCTGTGGATTTTGAATAATAACTCTGAATAATGGTGGGCATAACATAAGACATTACAAGCTACAGCAATTCCCTATTAAATAAGAATAAAAAGTATCTTTATTAGTATAGAACTACAGATAAATCGTCAAATGCTCTTAAGGAGCCTTTATATGTATGTCTCATTATTTTTTGCCCTACCAGTGCTTCGAGAGAAACATTTAGCAAGTGCTGAAAAAAGCGCCGCATCAAATTCAGTCACCACTGTCTGCTGGTTTAAAAAATAACTTCTCTCTGCTTACCGTATATCATAGAACGGAGCTCCTCAATGGATGCTTCCCTGGTGTTGAGGTCCTCATGGCAGTGTTCGTACGCGAGCTCGTACAGCTCAGGGTCCTCCTTCGTGTTAAGCTCGGCCTCGAAGCCTATTTCCAGGAACCGATCGTACATTATGGGGTCCTGGTACTTCTACTGCTGTAATCAAAGTTAAAATTCTCAGTACAGACGAGTGTAACGCGTAATGGAATGTATAGTGTAATGTAATGGAAATAATATGGGCAGCATTACAAGCAATGTTCGTAGTGTCGTCCACTCGTAGAATTCGTGTTATATTACACATTACACCCGTCTTGACCCGACTATATAGGCATCTGTATACTTTGGAAAATATGTATAATGCACAGAACGCACTGTTACTTGTACTGACGTGATAATAAGTTTTCGTGCACATAGTTATTTATTGGAATTTTCCAATTAGTCACAGCCTATGACCTCAAACTAAACAAATATGCTACGAAAAATATCAATGTCATTAATTATAAAGATTTTCTGTTTACAAAATTACAACTATTGAATTGGCATGAAACTTGAGAAATAGGTATTTTTGAATTACAATGTTACTATCTTAAGACAAACATAATTTTAATTTAACAAAGGAAATATTCTTGCCTCTTAGCTAGGAGTCATATGACATTGAAACTTAGTATATTATTAGTTTTCTTAAAATAAACTTAATATCACATAAGTGTGAATCTCGCCCGAGATGGTTCCCAACTACATAATGACTGAAAACGACTCTACATTTAAAGGTTTCCACTACTACACACCGCGTTAATTCTTAATTGTACTCGGACTAAAGTGACATATTGACATGCAACATATTATTGTTAATTTCTTAACAATGACGCGGTTTTCCTTCACCAAGATTTTTAAATATCATCAGAGGAATCCAGATCATCGCTTGGAGCTACAGTACAGTCAGATTAGGAAAATATCATCAGAACACGAAAACCTTAAATGATGACGTGCTGAGAACTGTGCAAATCTTAAACAATAAGTAGGTATCTATCTATCCCTGTATATGCAAAAAATAAGAAATAAGATACAGATGGGGACAACGTATGCAGATCAAAGAAAATGACGAATTTCTTCAAAGGATTTAATACATTTATGGAATTTCATTTGCGTTTTGAACATTTATAACTTCAGAAATGAAATATAATTACTGCGAGAATTTATTGCCCCTCATGTAATGATAAATATAAATAAATATGAATCTGCATTCAAGAAAAAGAAAATATTCAAACGAATGATTAGTCTCAATATTAATATTATAACAAGTCATCTTAAACCACATGGATCTATTTTAATAGGATTTGAATAGACTTTTGAGCGTTTCACAAAAATAGGGGCCTTTTTGTTCTAAAGTTGACTGTTTACGAAGCTGACTGTACTTAGGACAATCGCGCTCGACCCGTAATAATTATGGCGCCCTTTAAACTGCGCTCTTCGGAAATACAACGCGGTCAAGTGCGCGCCGTCCGTGAAATATTTTGAACTTTTATTTACACTCAATTGGGGCGAGCAAATATCAATGCGAAGCTCTGGAAAGATTTTATTTATTTGTATCGAGTTAAGTATGGAAACGGATGGATTAAAAGCAGCATGAAAGCAGAAAATGCATACCTATACCACCACAAGCAGTACGAATTGCGACTTGCGTGTGATTTCAACATGTAGAGTGCATAACTGTTCATTGATTTTTTTTTATTTTTCTTTTGGTGTAGTGGTTCAGAACGGACTACTAAGCCGTGAGGTCCCGGGTTCGATTCCCGGCCGGGCAGAAATTGAAATGATGAATTTAAATTTCTGTGACGGGTCTGGGTGTTTTCTATGTATAATATGTATGTATTTACAAAAAAAAAAGTATATAAGTATGTTTATCCCGTCGTCTAGTACCCATAGTACAAGCTTTGCTTAGTTTGGGACTAGAGGCGCAGTGTAAAAAATGTCCAAGGAAATGTCCAAGGATACTTTTCTTCGACAAAATCCGTATTGCAGTCTTATAGTACGACACCACCCTGCAAAACGTTTGAGCCATGGGCCATTACCACGGGCCCACTGTAGTACATGGTAGCAAATAGTATGTGTACTTACTGCTGCTTTCCTTGATCTTAGCTGTTTCTACCAGCTACTAAGTTCCAAATAGTTAGTTCTTATTTTTCAATGATCCTAACCTACTTACCTACTACCTATTTTATAACCAGTCAGTTCTAGCCGAGAGTGCATTTGATTGCCTTGGACTAGGCCGGGTTTCGTAACTCATCCGATCACCAGAGGTTATATCGCCTTTCATATTATAGCATGAGATGAATTTGACTATAGCCGTATATTTAGTGAAGAAAACGTTTTGAGTCGTTGTGTAACATATAGACGGAGTTTATGTTTGTTGCGTAATATAATAAGTGGTACATCACGGTCTGTTGGTAATGATGATGATGATGATGATGATGAAGCTTAGTGTCTAAACAATAAGCTTGTTATTGATATTAACTAAGGACCGGTGTCCACCAAGGTGGAGCAGAGCAGAACAGAGAAGTGTCGCGCCGTAAAATCTAAATATATGTATATGTCAACGTGAAATTGTGAACTCTGTCAGTTTATAATATAACGCGTTAGATTGTAAACTAACAGTGGGTTAGGTTAAGTTAGATTGTAATTTAACTACATCAGAGTATAATCTGACGGAATTCACAATTTTACGGTGACATATATAACTCAAAGGTGACTGACTGACTGACATAGTGATCTATCAACGCACAGCCCAAACCACTGGACAGATCGGGCTGAAATTTTGCATGCAGGTAGATGTTATGACGTAAGCATCCGCTAAGATAGGATTTTACGAAACACTACCCCTAAGGGGGAAAAACGGGATCGGGAAGTCGCGGGCGGCCGTTACTTTTTCTATAAAGTTTAACAGCGACGGCGGTGCAGCGCTGAGCGAAGCTGTGCGGAGCGGAGAGGAAAGTGGAAATAATGAAATCTGATTGGTTATTCAAAACACTTCTCCGCTCCGCTCTGCTCCGCCTTGGTGGAAACCGGGCCTAAAGTTCTATCACTGAATTTACCTACTTACCTTTGTCTACCTAAACATGTAAAATCATTATTTAATTACAACCGTGGCTAGTGTCTAGTCAGATTAAGTGTAGATTTGAAACTTCTAAACAGAAATAGAAAAGAGACATTCAATTAAGTTTTACCAAAAAACCGTATTTCGTATGGTACTTAGACAACTTTATGGTCAACTTTATTATTGTAACCTTCCATAAATGGGAAAGTATGAAGATAATTTGCGTCTAGACACGGTAATTAGATTTTAATGTGTTATTTTTATAGTTAGTTAACCGATGTGACCCCAGACAATTACTTACCTTGTGTTTTTCTCACCTTGTTTTCCCCTTTCTGTTTAAAGCGTTACTATTTCTTCCCTTTTTAAATCGCATCTAAAATTCCGAATTTTTCATCATCATCATCATCATTTCAGCCACAGGACGTCCACTGCTGAACATAGTGCTTAACGTAGCGGCCTGCGTCCAGCGCTTCCCTGCTACCTTTACGATGTCGTCGGTCCACTTTGTAGGTGGACGTCTCACGCTGCGTTTTCCGGTACGCGGCGGAATTTTTACCTACATCTTCAAAATTATGTGACGTATATTTTCTGGTCCAAGATAACTGCCTTTTAAAATAGCTAAAGTGACTATATTGAAAGCTTCAAGTTGAACGTCCCTGATGTTTTTAAAACTATTTTTAGATGACCACATGTCATGACCGCAGAAATTACTAATGTCGTGAGTAAGTAGAGCAGAATTGTAACACTCCGAAGATAAAATAATATGAATCATTAAGTACTTTTAATGCACTAGTTAAGGAAAAAGCTAAAATAGTAAATGTGACCTTATTATCTTCTATAATATAAAAATGAATCGAAAAATGTGTTGGTAAGCGCATTACTCAACAACGCCTGGACCAATTCTTTTTTTTAATGTTCGTTGAAGTTTAAGGATGGTTTTTGAGGCGAGAAAAATTCGAATAATTTCCGGGAAAACCCTAGAAACAGCCCTTTTTCACGCGGATGAAGCCGCGGGCGGAAAGCTAGTAATAAATAAATTTCTTCCAGAATTTGATAATATTTATTAATCACGAAAAATGTAATCCATTTTTAACTTATATTTTCACCCGGTAAAATCATTCGACATGAACTAATATGAAAATTATAAATAACTTGAAAAAAATCGAATTGCCTAAGGCGGGAATAGTTGAGATGTGACTCTTAACGCTAAAAATTAAATAACTATGAACTAACATCATTGGAATCGTGTTTATTATCAAACTATTGATAACAGTCAAAATAAATAAAAATGAAGTACCTAGGCTACTTTTCGGTATCATTATCTTTTTCGTAACATATGTTATCTATCAAGTAAAACAACAAATAACGCAATATTTTAACTACCGAAAAATGCGATAGGTATTAAAGGAAAATTAAAATAGTTCAAAAATAAAACAAAGTAAAAATACGTACCAGTGTCAAACAAAATCCAAATAAATCGTCACTGTGTCACAGCATTGTTTGTGCGCCCGCGCATGCGCGATCCACAACAAAAACTATCTAATCGCTACTACACCGACGCAAGTTCATAGCGATACGAGTACTATGACCAATCCGGTTCGCGTCACGGTCCGTCTCAAAAACTCGCCATAATAACCTCGTATGTTACTGCAACGCCTTGCCGTTACTTTAAATACTAAATTGCCATTCAATTGTTTCGGACGTTGAAAATTATCGCGCCTTTTTTGACACAGTGCGTCTTTTCTTTATTTTTTAAAATACAACCTTATTAATTGTCATTCAATTGTTTCGAACAGCGAAAATTATCGCGCCTTTTTTGACATCGCGAGTCTTTTATTTTTAAAATGATGTATTAATTTGTTGATTGCAATTCAATTGTTTCGAACGGAGAAAATTATGGCGCCTTTTTTGACGTTCCTCGTTCTTTGTTTATTTTTTCCTCACATCTTTTATCTGGCCAGTGTTAATTTCTTTCAGGTTCGTACTTTTTAAAAGCAGTTTGTTTATTGTTTTTAAAATGATACGTATGGATATTACGGTTGTTGACAAGCGACTGTTTTTCCGCGAGATGATAAAGCGTATCGGCAAATTGTCGTTACGTCACTCGTCCCATTGCCGTTTAATGTGTACTATAAATATCCTACACGCTAAGTAAATCTATCATAAGTTGTGTATTCAAGTTGTTGGACTAACAATTTACAGTATAAATACATTTATTTAGTTACATAAGCTACATAAGATTTTCTTTGGTTTTCACGTTCAACGTAGAAATTCCTTTTCAGGGGGNTTTCAGGGAGTTTTTTCCATCGTGAGATGGCAAACGTTGTTGGTTTTTGATACCCCTTGGGCTTTAAATCCTTCATTTGTAAAGCCATAATAATAGACACAGACTTAGTACGGCACATTAAGATTTTTTTACAAAAAATCTGTTACCAAAAATTTTGTTACAAAAAATTTGTTGTCCCCAGTCCCCACTGTACATTTCATATTTTAGAAGCCTTTAACTTTGATATTTTTATTTTTCAAACACACATCTCGTTTTCTCTGTTTGTGAATAAATCATAGGTACTTAAGTCTGATGTCTTATAAAATAACAATCACAGTCCGGAACAATGTATGCGCCAGTCATTGCTAATTCATTCGTCACTGAGTCAAAGTGCTAATGCCAATTAGTATTAACAGGTATTTCCTTGAGCTGTGTGATCACAATAACAGAACAACATAAGATACAGTATAATAATTCATATTTCTAACTCCTCCTATATTTTTTAAACTTTCGCGTTCCATTTCGTTTTAAGGTTCAGTCAAACCAACGCGAATACACGCGATCAGCCGGCGTGGAGCGTTGGCGATCAGACTTAAATGCATTGATTGATTTGATGATGTCACGCGTAAAATCATCCCGCTCCGGCTGCGTCTGATTCAGATGGGTGGCGGGAGCTTTATTGCTCTGCTCCTTTAAGAGACGGACAATGAACGGTCCTGCGCTGCCCGCATCCAGGCTCTTCTCGCAGAATTGCTAAAATCAAGTGGCAGTGGGCGGGGCACATAGCTCGTAGAGACGATGGCCGTTGGGGCAGGAAAGTTCTCGAGTGGCGACCACGGGCTGGAAGACGTAGCGTGGGCAGGCCTTCTACTAGGTGGACCGACGATCTGGTAAAATAATAATATAACCGTGACATTATATTTTACTCGGTACAGCATATCGATTGGTGCTGAAAAGTACCTAGTGGCGGAACTTTAACTACCTTCAACATCCGACTTTATAAAGGGAGCCTTGACATTCATCTCTTATTTCAATTATTTTGAAACAAACAAACATGTTATATTAAAACAATCAAATAGACCCTTGGCTTTCTTACAACCATTTTTTAAAAAAAACGGTAACACATCGTGCCGTAAATAATTTACTCGTACTTATCAGCCGTTCGAAGCCGTTACAGTTCTTTTGATGGATGGCACCTAACCTAAAACCTTACCCAGTCGTAATACGTGTTATTTTGCCACAAAACGTGTGTATGCGCATGAGTTGCTACACAACCTACGGTGTATTGAATGCCGTACGCCCTTGGCTGGGTACACGCTGACCGCCCGGCCAACGGGGTCATAGCCCGGTGAGTGCAGGGCTGCCGTTACCTGCAAAAATAATAAAAATCCCACTATAAAGGCGAAAGCTTTTCTTAAATGTTATTAAATCATGGTTTTTTTATCCACAACGAGGAAGACGCCTGTATTCACAAACATTACTATGAGGTCTCACAGTGCGCGTGCACGCACAGGGTCACACACGAACCAATCACAAGCTCTATTCAACGCTGTGCGTTAGATTTGCTGCTTCACATAAGCAAGCATCGTTTGTGAATACGGGTAAAAGCCTGTATCTCACCTAGGATGCGCGCCGTGATAAGCTTTTATCACGCCGTTTTATCGATTTTACGCGATAGGCCCATACATTTGCCGTCTAAAATCGTCGATAAGATTTTATCACGGCGTGCATCCTAGCCTGGGTATCTTACCTGATGGTAAGTGATGATCAGGCCGTAGATGGAAGTGAGCTTCACCCGGAATCCTCAACCACGGAGGAACTGGCTATCTTACCTCTAACTGCCAGAATACAACAATGCTGTCACCTGTCATCCGCTTTGCAATGGAGAGAAGTCGAAACTTAACTTCGAACTCCTCCTATGTTCTTCTGATTAATTTGGTTGAGGATCCAATGACAGTTTAATTTTCCCCCGGGACAAAGACCATCACTGGTTGGGTTTTTATTGGCGGTCAAGCTTTAGATCCTGACTACAAGTACACAGGAGTTGCAGCGGTGGGAACGAGAGGTGGGAATAGTCCCGTACAATCTGGAAATCATTGGGAGAGGCCTATGTTCAGCAGTGATCGTCCAGCGAAGGATTTTGCCTACACTCCCTATGCTATCCAGACGGGCTGGGGGGGGGGGGAGCCTGATGTTGTCCTCTGATCTTGTAACTTTTTGACACAAGAATTGTAGATTAAACCTTTAGTAGGAATTCCGATTAAGTATGTGACTTCATTACTTTCATTATATCGAAGAGGAATTTAGTTACGTTCCAGTCAGAGAAACTATACAAGGAATTAGACGAAACAGATTTTGACGAAGCTAAATGGTAGATAATTTCCTTTGCAATAAAATGTGTTGTCAACAAAATATTGTTTTTAATTGGGTACTGCGTCGGGGTTTTATCGGTGTTTTATCTTTGTTACAATAACATTCTCATTCGATGCGTTCTTTCATTCGAAAGAAGGTCGCCTCATCTTTTAGGTACTTGATCTCAACAGTTTTAACACCCATCTGTTGATCGATGCTTGGTGTTGCCAACCCTATGGCCTGCCTCACCTTGACTTGGACCTTACCGCGTGAGCTCTCGGCGCCTATGCTCGCCTGGTACTCCACGGCATTTAGCCGCCTATTTATCTATCCATACATACATACAACCATACAAACGTGGTCTAGGCGAGTCTATGATCTTGTATGAAAGCGAAAGGGTACATACGATCGGCATATACAATTATTTTAAGACGTTATTGAAGAGTACTTACACGCACTTATTGCTACGAAAGACTCTGTATATTGTCTACACTAATATTATAAAGAGGAAAACTTTGTTTGTTTGTTTGTTTGGTTGTAATGAATAAGCTCAAAAACTACTGGACCGTTTTTAAAAATTCTTTCACCATTCGAAAGCTACATTATCCACGAGTAACATAGGCTAAATTTTATTTTGGAAAAAAATAGGGTTCAGGGGACCTCGCGCGCGAAGCCGCGGGCGGAAAGCTAGTCTTCAATATAATATTACTAAAAAACTGTACTGGTAGACGAATTTAATGGTCTAGTTTGATTATGATAGAATAAGCCTGTAATTTCGGCCTTTTCCGACCATTTTCCTACAACGATTTTTCTTTAAGCAGACAACATGATTGTTATTTATCGTTTTATTTTTCTTTACGATGATAATTATCATAAAATTGTTTTATCTACTATGTACACGTCTTTTAAAGAAGAACGGTCACGCCCCATACAAAAAAAACCCAGACCCGACAGAAACGAGACATACCTCAGTTTTTTTGTCATGTCTTAATTAGTTTAATTATATATTTTTTATATTCGAAATCTATGTATAACACCATAATATGACCCTTTGTTTTTGTTCAGGCGTTATACAAAAACTAATACAAAATGCCTATTTATCACCAAAATTGGTAAATGTATGTACCTAAATGTCTATTACAGCTGCTATGGAATGTATCTAGGTGACCTGGAGATACAGCCGAATTGTACAGGGTGGTTATACTGAAAGTGCTTCACGAGCTCTTTCAAAAATGGTACCAATAATAGGTTACAGATTATGGAAGCTGGTAACATTGAATTTTGTAACTTCTCGTTTCCACCCTGTATAATCCGGTTGTATCTCCAGGTCACCTAGATAAATTCCATAGCAGTTGTAATAGACATTTAGGTACATACATTTACTAATTTTGGTGATAAATAGGCATTTTGTATTAGTTTTTGTATAACGCCTGAACAAAAACAAAGGGTAATATTTTGGTGTTATACATAGATTTCGAATATAAAAAATATATAATTTAACTTATTAGGACATGACAAATAAACTGAGGTATGTCTCGTTTCTGTCGGGCCTGGGTCACAGATGACCGTTCTTCTTTGAAAATAATAATTTGTAGTGAAATAATAATAGAATAAAAGACAATATTTATGTATCTAAAATCTACCGTGCGAGTGTCTCGACACGTGACTGTTTGGAATACCTATTACGGAAAACAATGAAAATTATTATAATAATACAGGCTGGTGAGAAAATAACGACGGAGGTTATAACAGAAATTATGAAAAAATAAAGCCCAAGAAATTCCTGGCTGGTGAGAAAGGCCTGACTCCGAATGTTTAGGAATTTAATTCTTTTAAAAAAGTTAAATAGGCTCTTAGGCTGGGTTGCACCATCTTACTTTAAAAGTTAAACAAACGTCAAAAATCTGACAAACTCCATACAAAAAGCGCTGGTTATCGTTATAGTTAAAGTTAAGTGGTGCAACTCAGCCTTAGAAACGTTTGTTGATCAACAATAGTTAAAGCTCACGTGCTCGCATTAATTATAGCTTCAAACGTGATTGCATAATTGTAGCTCATAGGAAAAATGTCGCGTTGAGACCCGTGTCTCTCTATTTTATAATAATTGTAGCTTAATACAACGTGCTCTATTTTATTTCCTGGAACTCTAAGGTATTAATAAGATCAAAGAAATCAAAAATCAATCAATCGGATGGCACTAATTTTTTTTTTCATTTCAACAATTTTTTCGACATATAAAAAACTCAAAGATTAATGATATCTTCGAAAATATGCGTTTAGGAACACATGTTCCTTAAGACATTTTAACTAGTTTTGATTCATAGAATATACCCCTATTTCTGGATATCAAAAAGAGCACGTGGCATTGTCGTGAATTTTAAAATTATAAATTCAGGAAGGTTTAT